AGAGGAGCGGAGGAGAAGAGAGAGAGATGAGAGAGAGAGAGAAATCAGAGGAGAGAAGAGGAGAGAGAAAAGAAAGAGCAAAGAGAGGGACGAGACAAGAGAAAAGAGAAAGGGAATAAGAGGAGAAGAAGAGAGAGAGAGAGAGAGAGAAGAGAGAGAAGAGAGCAGAGAGAGATGAGGAGAGAGAAGAGAGAGAGAGATAGGAGAGAGATGACAATAATGAGAGAGACGAAAGAGAAATGAGGAGAGAGAGAATAGAGAATAGATGAGAGAGAGAAAGCGAAAGATATGGAGAGAGAGAGAAGAGAAAAATTATGAGAGAGGAGAGAATAGAGAATGAGAGAGAGAGAGATAGAGAGAGGAGAGAGAGAAGAGAGGATGAGAGAGAGAGGAGATGAGAGAGAGAAGAGAGAGAGAGGACGAGCAGAAATAAAAGGAGAGAGTAGGAAAATAGGGAGAGAGAGAAGGAGAAACTAGAGAGCAGAGAGGAGGAAATCAGAAGGAAACGAGAAATAGAGAGAGAGCAGAAATAGAGTAGAGAGAGAAAGAGGAGAAGAGATGACGATGCACGAGAGAGAGAGAGAGAGAGAGAGAGGAGAGAGAGAGGAGAAGAGAGAGGGATAAAAAAGGAGAAAGGAGAAATAGACGGAGAGAGATGAGGAGAAAGGAGAGATCGAGAGACGAGAGGCAAGAGAGAGATGAGAGAGAGACGAGGAGAGGTGAGAAGAGAGCAGAGAGAGAGAGAGATAGAGAGAGAGAGAGAGGGGGTGGGTGGGGGAGGAGGAGGGGGGGGGAAAAGGTAACAGGGAGAGATGAGAGGGGGGCGAAAGAGAGGTCGTGAGATAGAAGGGGGAAAAAGAAGAGCGAGAGGGAAAGAGAAAGGAGACGTAAAAAAGAGGGGAAAGCAGAGAGAGAGAAGGGAACAGAGAGGAGAGAGAGGGAAAGAGAGAAAGAAGAGGGAAAGAAGAGAGAGGGAGCCGGGGACAAGAGAGAAGAGAGAGAGGGAAAGAGAGAGAAGAGAGGAGAAGAAGAGCAAGGGAAGAGAGAGAGGAGAGAGAGGAAAGAGAGAGCAGAGAGAGGAAAGAAGAGAGAGAGGAGAAGAAGTAGAGAGGAGGGAAAAGAGAGAAAGGAAAGAGAGAGGAGAGAGGGAAATGAGAGAGAGAGATGATAAAGAGAGAGAGAGACGGGAAAGAAGAAGAGAGAAGACGGAAGAGGAGAGAGGGCGGAGGGAAGAGAAGAGCAGCGAGGGAACAGCAGAGAGAGAGACGGGAAAGAGATGAGACCGCAGAGAATCGGAGAGAAGAGAGGGAAAGAGAGTGAGACGAGAGGAATCGAGAGGAGAGAGAGGGGAAAGAGTAAGAGAGAGGGAAAGAGAGAGAGAGGGAAAGAATGAGAGAGAGAGTGAAATGAGCGAGACAGAGAGGGAAAAGGAGAGAGAGAGCAGGTGAAAGAGAGAGAGAGAGTGAAAGAACGGAAGATGAGAGGGACAACATGAGAGAGAGAGGGAAAGAAGGAGAGACGAGAGGGAAATGAGAGGAGAGAGGAGAGAGAGAGAGAGGAGACGAGAGAGAGAAAGAGATGAGAGAGAGATGAGGAGAGAGAGAGAGAGGGAAAGAGAGAGAGAGAGGGAGAGACGAAAGAGAGAGGAGAGAGGGAGAGAGAGAGAAGAAGAAGGAAAGAGGGAAAGAGAGAGAGAGAGGGAAAGAGAGAGATGAGGGAATGAGAGAGAAGAGAGGGAAAGAGGAGAGAAGGAGGAAAGAGAGCGAGGGAGGGAGAAGAAGAGAGGAGAGAGAGAAGGAAGAGAGGGAATGAGAGAGAGAGAGAGAGAGAAGAGCGAGAGAGAGGAGAGACCGAGAGAGAGAGGAGAAGAGCAAGAGAGAGAGAAGATGTAGAGGAGAGAGAGAGAGAGAGAGAGAGAGAAGAATGAAAGAAATAGAATGAAAGAAATAGAATGAAAGAAATAGAATGAAAAAAGAATGTGAAAAGAAAAGGATACAAGAAATGAAAAGAAAAGAATAAAAGGCTGATAATGGCTTCCTCCTGTATCTCGTAGAATGAACCTTAATCAAAAATACTTTAGGTTCTAAAGGCCATCTGTACGAAGCAAACTCCAGCAAGTGAACCTCAACTATGCCCGTGGCATGGTTGGCATTGCACAGAGCTGTGTGCGTCTGGCATAAATTTCAGCGAGGAGCGAAGCCTCAAGAATGCAAGGTATGGCGGCCACGAGGACAGACCCACTCTTTTTCAACACCGAAACAGGCGCACAGGTAACAAGTTGCGCGCGCAAAATGAAATGTGTCAGTTCATAAGTAGCAGTGTAAACCCAGCCTTTTTTCAATGAGTTTTGCCACACGGAATGTCTTCCTGCAATGAGTTTTCCTTTCATCAGTCCCTAAAACACAGAGAGAATCGGTGTCCGTTAGCCACGAGCCATTTTCTTTGCCGGCAAATGGCGTGTCCCTATAGGTCTTCAGTGCGGTTTTACACGTCTTTTATT